AAAAACATTAATTTGCATTTTCTTAAATGGGAACCCCTATTTTGAATTTGTTATTATGATTGAACATAAAAATACAAACAATTTAGCTCTTACAATTTTTTTTTTCCGACNGGTGAATAAATATATATATATATATTTTTAATAGAATATCTACATTTAGTTATTTTCTTTAAAAATCACCTGAAGAAAATCTTATAAAATGCTTGGTTTTATCAAAAGAAATACTAACAATTCTAAAAACCCTTTTTTTTAAATAAATATTAACAGTGCACTGCTACAAAACCACTTAAATTTGTTAGTCTTATATGGTCATATGATTATGTTACTCATAATAATGAACTTGATAATTTTCAGTATAAATCTTTAAAAAAGTATCCTACCTTACTAGGTAAATCTAAAGATTCTATTAACTTTATTGTGAACAATCTAAGTCTTAATAGTCTATCTATTATATGTAATTTAATTTGTATGTCATTTATTTTTGATATTTCAATGATATTGTTATCTTTGATTCTTTTCTGAATTCCCAATCAACACACTCAAAATTGAGATTTATTTGTAATCCTTTTAGCTTCGATGCAAAGCTGAGAAGGTATTAATTTTACTATGACGTTTTTTTTTTGTGTCTGTTACCACTTTTTCTCAGCTCTAACTGAACCAATTTCAACGATAGTCAAAAGATCATGTAAGCAAAATGAAATCCGAAAACTTTTTTTTTCCATAATAATGTATATTACATTACCTTTAATTTAAGGTATATATAAAAGTGTCAGACTTTCCGGAACACTTTCAAAAGTTAAGTTGAAAAAGTTGTCATTTTGAATCCCTCCCTATGGGCAGGTAAAGGGTCAGATTTATACAAAATATATACAAAATAATATGTAATTACCTCATGTACCTATAAAAAAAAATTATATCAATTAATTATGGCAATTTTAAGTAAAAATTTTTTTTAAAATGTTGAAAATTATCGATTTTTAAATTTATAATATTTTTGGAGTCTTTCCCCATTTACGGGAAACGAGGGAAATTTTTTCAATTTTTAATGGAAATGTCTTCGACTAGATTTAATTTGTAATTTTGTGATGTATTGTTGAAAGAAATTGGTTTTGTGAGAGCTGAGAAAGAGTGGTAACAGACACAAAAAAAAAAACACATAGTAAAATTAATACTTTCTCAGCTTCATATCGAAGCTAAAATACAATTTTTGTAAAAAATTATTTTTGATATTTTTAATTTTATAATGCTATAACTTTTTGAAAAATGTATGGATAAATACAATTTTTTTAGGAAAATAATATTTGTATACCTTTTTCATTCGACATACATTTTTTTTAAATAAAACCATTTTTCTTTGTATATTATAAATTATAAAACTTGTATAAATAAGGATATTGATACACAATGTCTCGGGTTTTGGAATAATTCACCAATTTTTTAAAATTAAACACTATCTACACATTTGCATCAAATCATTTTTTATGATAGAGATTTTAATCACTGTCAGATATCATTATACTTGATCCAACTATGCCACGTCCCTACCGTGCCATTACACTGGGTTTTTTGTTATTTGTTGTTCTATATGTTTTTGTATATTTTTAATATTTGTACTTTAAATACAATGATCCTAATGAAATTTTAATAGAGTATATTAGACACAGAAAAATTACTTTTGGTATAATTTTTGCGAAAATTAAATAAAAAACTTAAGTACAAGAAGGCTTTAAAAGAAACTAATCACCCATGTAAAAATGTAAATTTCATTAAAATTATATTTATTTATGTTATACATCTTTATAATCTTTTCAATTTAATATAATTAATTTAATATTTTCATTATTAATATTTAGAATTTCTGTAATGTTGATTTGTTAAGCCATACAAATAATAATAATAACTTAATTTGAAAAAAAACATTTCTTCCTCAATGTTTGCACTATTTTATTCTATACCAAATTAATGCTCTTCTTGTTTACTACAAAAAAAACTATCCCAAGCTTGTTAGAAAATATACAAATTATTGTAAAATTTAACAGATTCACATAGAAACGTTTTTTATGATAGTGATTTTAATCACTGTCAGATATCATTTATACCTGTCCCAACTATAGCATGATCTCACTGTGCTGGGTTATTTAACTTTATTAAGCATTTTATATAGTTCATTAAACAGTCATAAATAAATAATATAGAAAATATACTAATAGTCTTACGTTGTATGCATTTTCAAATCTAGCATTGACTTGTATAGTTCTTCACAAGTATTAAAACCAGCCATATGTTGTTTTATTTCAGTTAATTGATCACCAGGCAACCTTTTTCCAGTTTTATAATGACTATTTAAACTTTCAAATGTGTCTTTATCGTATAACCTATCATAAATCAGGAATTATTTGATTTTGAACATATTGGAGTACATTTTTATATTAAGTGACATTTTTATTTACCAATGTTTCATAAAGTTACTAGTAATACCTATTGCATCCCATTCGACATTGTTTAGACCAGATACTTCAGCATAATGAACTTGACATAATAAATTTTGTAAAAGATGTCCAAACTATTTAAATGACAAATGTTATTTATAATTTATAATTCTTAATGTGTTAATTAATTTTAAAAGGGTTACTTTGCCAAATAACGTTTTCACTTGGTTAAAACTCAATAAACTAGGTACTTTATTTTGTGATGAAGGCATATTCATAATAAGAGCTGCTAAAGGTAATACTTTTTTAGGAATTGATGAAGCAGTTCTATGAGTAACTATCCAACCTGGTTCACCCACACTTCTCATCTTGTTAGGTCTGTTGTAAATATAAGAAATTTTGATTATTTGTCTTAAAATTATATCTATGTTACTATGTTATACCTAGTACAAAGATCTAAGTAAAAACCTGCCATAATAGTTGGTTCATCTTCTCTTAAAATTTCATAATATTTAACATCAGGATGCCACATATTTACTTTATTAGGCATTTCTAATATACGAATGCCAAACAATTTATTGCACAGGTTAAAAAGTCCATCTAATACTCTATCTAATGGAAAATATTCAGACCATAAGACTTCATCATAACTAGAAAGTCAACAATCAATATTAAATGTCAATTATTTAACAAAAAAAAATGTTTAAATATTAGTTTTTTATTTTAAAATAAAAATTTACCCATAGAGATTTTTCATTTGTAATCTTGCCCAATATGGAACATCCCATAATTGTATTGGATATTCATTTCCTCTTTTGTTAGAAAACTCTTGAAGTAATTCTATCTCTTTCTCTTGCAATGGTCTTGCTTGAATTTATAAAAAATATTTTACTAATTCAATTAAAATAAAACAATCTTAACAAAAAAAAATTACCTTAAAGTAAAAATTATGTACACATTTTTTAATAGTAGAACTTTTAAGTTTATTACTTAATTAATTTTTAATGTTACCTTTTTCTAAAATTGATGATAGAGTATTTTCAATTTCTTCTGTTGAAGAAGCCATCTTGGTACTCATTGATAGATTACCATAATTTTTAAAACCTAACTTTTCAGCTGCTTCATGTCTAAAAATAGATAAATTAAAAAGTAGTGAAAACTTGTTTTTGGAATACCTAAGNAGCTTGTTAAAGTTAAATAATTTTGGACTAAATTTCTATTGTTGTTTTAATGTTTTCAATACAGAAGTCACTATTTTTCTATAATGTAATATACACTAATTGTTATTGACCAAGATATGATGACAAGTAAGATAGCAATAATAATTTACGACACACTAATTGAGTGATAGTAATAATAGATTCAAATCGGGTCTTAATCATAGTATTACTCTATGGTCTTAACTGTATTATTAAAAGCAAAGTCCATTGATTTGTATAGCAAGCTTTAATACTGATAAGTTAATTTCCTAGCCTCTCTTCACCGTAGTGTAGAGACTCGATACAATTCTATAATACGATAATGTTATCATGTGATATGACCAACAAAAATAATTTTTACTAATGTTGATTAATATTATGTTAAGTTTTAACATAACCTTTTAAACCACATCGGGTTTAACGCTAATTCTACGTGGTACTGCTATCCCATATAGTTAAATATTTTTATCCATTATTAAGTTGTTTAACTATCGTGTAGTTACAGTGTTTTAATGTAACATTTTAGTAAATGTTTTATTTTTACGTCGTAACAATTATTAAATAATAATTTAACCTTATTTAGATGATAAAACTGTACTAAAGTTATATAACGGGTAAGTAGAATTAACTACAAAATAAATTTATATTTATTTGATATAATCATTTTTTTTTTTAACTGCAGGTCAAATTTTCATATATGAAAATTGATACATCTAATTGCCAAATAATATATTTACATTTTTGGATGAAGACAATATTTAATAGATAAAAATAAATCATCTTCTTTCTTCTTAAGTTTCATTGAATTGATTAAGACATTTTTTTTTTATAACAATCAGATCACATTATAGTTAAAACTTTAAAAGTTGTTGTACAGGGTGGGGGGGCGCAGCCGACTGACGAGTTTANAGTTAAATTATTTATGGTTTTTTGTGAGAAGGGTTCAAAAATAAGTTATTTAATGTTATAAGTAGGGTTTGGGACTTTATACAGGGTGGGGCGCAGCCGACTGACGAGTTTAATGGGGTCATTAGCCTGAGAAAAGATAAGTGTAGACCTTTATCAGTGATTTATTTTGAATGCCACGGTTATGCCGTTTTTAGTCGTAATCATGGTTTGGACAGGTGTACATCGTGGTTTCGTCGTGCGCGCGTATTACGAAAATAACCATTCTGTAATCGCTACACAAAGAGCTTTTCGTTTACACTTCGGCATTCCACGTGCCGAATCTGTTCCTTCTGCCAACACTATTAAGTTTTGGATACGGCAATTAGAACAAACTGGAAGTACCCTAAATGGGCGAGGACATGGACCACCCAGAACGGTAAGAACCCCTGATAATGTGCAGTTGGTTAGAGAGGCAATTGAACGGTCACCTAGACGCTCTGTCCGGAAACATGCGGTTGCATTGGGAATATCGAACCGTTCTTTGAGGAGAATTCTTCACGAAGATTTATCATTCCATCCCTATAAAATAATGCTTGTCCAAGAATTAAATGTTACTGACTACGGTAATCGCAAAAACCTTTGTCAACAAATTCTTCAGCAAATCCCTCCGACAGCAACTTTTTTCTGTAGTGACGAGGCCCATTTTCATCTTTCTGGAACTGTCAACAAACAAAATTTTCGATATTGGGCCAAAAATAACCCACAACAGCTCCATGAAAGACCACTACACTCTCCTAAAGTGACAGTGTGGTGCGCTGTGTCCCAATTTGGAGTGATCGGCCCGTATTTTTTTGAGGAGGATAACAGAACAGTCACTGTCACTTCCACTCGTTATGTTGTCATGTTAGAAACTTATCTGCATCAAAAGTTGGAGGAAATGGCTGATGAACATGATTTGGGAGATGTATGGTTTCAACAAGACGGTGCCACAGCGCACACCGCTCGAATTTCATTAGCTGTTTAGCGACAAATGTTTCCTGGGCGATTAGTCTCTCTGAGGGGTGACATAGGCTGGCCAGCACGCTCCCCCGATTTAAGCTCGTGTGACTTTTTCCTTTGGGGCTACCTAAAGGATAAGGTTTTCAGACATCGCCCCAATACCATAGAAGACCTAAAACAAAAAGTCATTCAGGAAATCGAGGCCATACCCATTGAAATGTGCCGAAAATCGTTCGTAAACTTCAGAGAACGTCTGAAACAATGTATTGATGTTGATGGCCGTCATCTTAGATATTATTTACAAAAAATTATTTTAAAAATGGGACTTGTAACTGATTTTAATAATACAATTTGTTTTCATATAAGTTTAACTGTTCGTTATTCATAGCCCTTCAAAAATCGTCAGTCGGCTGCGCCTCACCCTGTATATTATTAAATGATTTAATTAAATAAAAACATTTCTTAAATATTAATGTTTATTCAAAATTGAAGGTTATTTTTTCAACATAAACCATTTATGAACAGTTTTGCGTTGTTTAACGTTTTTGTATATTAAAAGTTTAATAATGTTATAAATATAGTGATTCAATGTAACATATTAATTATTTTATTTTTATATCGTTACAATTATTAAATTATATTTGAAAGTTTATTGAGATCATTTAAGGAAAAAAATGTCAAATAATAGGTAAGTTCAATTACGAAACAATGCTTATATTGATCTGCTTTGATCATTTTCTTTTATCATATAGCCACAAGGAAAATTATTTATATTGGGAATTTAACGAAACAAATTACTTATAAAGATATTTACATTTTTGGATTTTCGGCTGTTGAAAGACAAAATTACTAAGAATTTATACCTTTTTTTTAGCTTCGATGCGAAGCGGAGAAGGTATTAATTTTACTATGATGTGTTTTTTTTTTTGTGTCTGTTAACACTTTTTCTCAGCTCTCACTGAACCGATTTCTTTCAACGATATGTCAAAAGATCACAAATCGTATCTAGTTGAAGACATTACCCTTAAAAATTGAAAAAAATTCCCTCGTTCCCCGCAAATGGGGGAAATATCCAAAAAAATTACAAATTTAGAAATCGCTAATTTTCGAAATTTTTTCACTTTTTTTTCTTAAAACTTCCATAACTTTTTGAAAAATCAACAAATCAACATAATTTTTTTTTATACTAAAACCTTAGATATTTACCTTTCATTTGATATCATTTTTTTGAAAATCTATCACTTAACCTGCTCATTGGGGGGGATTTAAAATGGCAACTTTTTTACAAAAATTAATTTTTTCAACTTAATTTTTGAAAATGTTCCGGAAAGACTGCGTCCTTTAAACATATATCAAATTAAAGCTTATTTTATGTACTACAAAATGAAAAAAAAAAATTTGTCCCGACACTTTTTTTTCTACATTTAAACGGCTGCCGTAGTTAAAAAAACACTATTTTTGTGTTAAAATTTTCGATTTTCGATTTTAAATTTTCAACTTAAAAATGCTATAACTTTTTGAAAAATGTATATATCAGCACAAATTTTTTTTTTCTAAATACATTATAAGTACATCTTTCATTTGACATACTTTTTATTAAAATTGGACAATTTCCCCTTATATAGGGGGCGTTCAAAACTTAAAATATTGTAAAAAACATAGATCTTTTTCAACTGAACTTTTGAAAATGTTCCGGAAATACTGCGTCCTTTAAACATATATCAAATCAAAGGTTATGTTATATACTATCAAATGAAAAAAAAAAATTTGTCCCGACATCTTATCTTCTATGTGCAAATGGCTGTCGAAAATTTAAAAAAAAATGTAATGTTTGCGATAAAAATTACATTTTATCGGGATGTTTTTTGTACTTAAAACTGCCATAACTTTTTCAAAAATGAACAAATAAAAATAATATTTTTTTGTATTGAAACCTTAGATATTTCCCTTTCATTTGATATAATTTTTTTTGAAAATCTTACACTTATTCTGCTCATTGAGGGGATTTAAAATAGTAACTTTTTTACAAAAAATAACTTTTTCAACTTAATTTTTGAAAATATTCCGGAATTACTGCGTTCTTTAAACATATATCAAATTAAAGCTTATTTTATGTACTACAAAATGAAAAAAAAAATTTGTTCCGACGACTTATCTTCTATACGCAAAATGGCTGCCGTAGTTAAAAAAACACTATTTTTGTGTTAAAATTTTCGATTTTCGATTTTAAATTTTCAACTTAAAAATGCTATAACTTTTTGAAAAATGTATATATCAGCACAAATTTTTTTTTTCTAAATACATTATAAGTACATCTTTCATTTGACATACTTTTTATTAAAATTGGACAATTTCCCCTTATATAGGGGGCGTTCAAAACTTAAAATATTGTAAAAAACATAGATCTTTTTCAACTGAACTTTTGAAAATGTTCCGGAAATACTGCGTCCTTTAAACATATATCAAATCAAAGGTTATGTTATATACTATCAAATGAAAAAAAAAAATTTGTCCCGACATCTTATCTTCTATGTGCAAATGGCTGTCGAAAATTTAAAAAAAAATGTAATGTTTGCGATAAAAATTACATTTTATCGGGATGTTTTTTGTACTTAAAACTGCCATAACTTTTTCAAAAATGAACAAATAAAAATAATATTTTTTTGTATTGAAACCTTAGATATTTCCCTTTCATTTGATATAATTTTTTTTGAAAATCTAACACTTATTCTGCTCACTGGGAGGATTTAAAATAGTAACTTTTTTACAAAAAATAACTTTTTCAACTTAATTTTTGAAAATGTTCCGGAAATACTGCGTCCTTTAAACATATATAAAATTAAAGCTTATTTTATGTACTACAAAATGAAAAAAAAAAATTTGTCCCGACGATCTATCTTCTATACGCAAATGGCTACCATATTGAAAAATATACTATTTTTGTATGATAATTATGGGTTTTGTATTTTATTTTAATAGAAGTTGATGTTGCTTTTGCAATTATCCATCAATTTTTTAAAATTAAACACTATCTACAGATTTGCATCGAAGCGTTTCTTATGATAGTGATTTTAATCACTGTCAGATTAAATCTATACTGGACCCTACTATGCAATGTCTCTACTATGCCGCGACCCCACTGTGCTACCGTTTTTTAATTATATAAAGTATAATTCAACTTCTATAAATATAAGTCGTTGAACATTTAATTTTCAACTTAAAAATGCTATAATTTTTCGAAAAATGCATGTATCAGCACAATTTTTTATTTTCTAAATACATTATAAGTACATCTTTCATTTGACATACTTTTTATTAAAATTGGACAATTTCCCCTTANTCACACCACCACGTTGTGAATCAGCCCGAAACTAATCAAGAGCTGATTCACAACGTGGTGTGGCCTCCCCCGTTAGCCGGATCCCAAAAGTCGGGATCCGTTGCCCGGGTTGCACCACGTGGAGGTGGGGGCAGGACTTCGCGAGGGTTGGCTTAATAAATCACAAACATACATAACATAAACAAAACATAAAACACATGCAATAAGCACCTACGGCGCCAGTCTAGCCGACGCCGCAGGTACTCTCACCCTGGGCAGTCTCTGCCTCTGGCGTTCGGCCTCCTCTTTTTGGCTCATCACCGATTCAGCGAACGCCTGACCCAGATACAACCCCTCCCGGCTTCTCAGCATATGGTCCACCATGGACCCCACACCGAACGCGGACCCCAAGCGGGATTCCAAGTCCTCCCGCTCGTTGGCCCACAAGAATTTATACCTAAATGAATGAAAACCAATATTTTTCACTTTTAAGGAAAATTAATTTTGCTGTAGTGTGTTTTGTTACTTAAAAAGTAAGTACATATAATGATGTAATAATAGATCTGCAGTATAATTAGGGTCATATTTAGGGGAAGCTTCAGGCTCCCAAAAGAATAAGTTGACAATCTATTTTTTTGCTCATATTACATTTAAATGATCATTGTAATCTTGATTTTTTTACTAATTATTTTTCATTTATGACAATATTACCCAACTATTCCTAATGAGTATAATATGCTGAATAATATTGGTATACTTAATATAATAATTTTGAAACTAGCATCTAGCGTTAACTATTTTGAATACATTTTTTTATTAGTTAATAATTTATTTAGGTAGTATTTATATTAAACTTTAATTGTTTAGTAAAACTTAATAATTTTTATAGTTAGGGAAACAAATTTGATTTTATGAATAGCTTAGTTGTAAAAAAAATAGACTTATTAAAAACTTAAGTGTAATGTGTATGCATCAAACATATTTATAAGTATTCTATTTATTTAGTCATATGAAAATTGAACTATGACTTAATTGAAATATTGGTTAAAATTTGATTATTAATTTGTAGTTTTAACTCTGGCAATGATTTTAAATAAAATATTGCATGAGTCTAATTTGTATATGACAATAATTGTGAAATTACATAATTGGAGTATGGGAAATAGTGAAATATTTAGTAATTTAAATAAAAAATAATAACTTTATTTATAATAAAATAAGTACTTAGAATTTTTCTTACATTTGTCAATTTAAAGTTTTGTATACATTTTTTAAATAAAAGATTATTAGGCATAATCAAATTATAAATTTTCAACTTNAAATAAAAGATTATTAGGCATAATCAAATAATAAATTTTCAACTCTGGGCAAAAAATAATAAACCTAAAGTATGTATACCTAATTAAAAAATTGTATGGAGTAGCTACTGAATATTAATTTTCCATTTAATAAAAATAATTTTATTTTTGATTGTGTTTATATTTCACTGTAGATGTTAAGAAAATATTATGCAACTATTTTGATAAGTTTATAAATATTTGATTAAGCATGCGTAGATTTGAATAAACATAATTTTAATTTATTTCTGTAATAATATGTGAAAATTTGTACAAATTATAATTATTATGACTTGTTACGTAAGTCGTCATCCATAAATTCTTTTAACATTATTTTTTCTATTGTAAATTAAGTTTTTAGTTACTTCTTCATACATAATAATTTAATTAAAAATTTGTTGTTTTTAATTTAATTTTTAGTTTTAATACCTGCTGTTGAAAGTATGCACTTGTAATTAAGATACTTTGATATCATAAAATTAATATCTTAATCATATTAAAAAACAAAAATTATTTAATCATGATTTTGCTATTGCCATGATTATATCATGAAAAAGAGTCACATATCAAATAAATGCACAGTTCTCAAAAAAACTTGAGTGAGTTTAATAAAATAAATTTTGCTTTTTAGTATTACCATTTTTATCCCATGTAAGTTAATTTAATTTGTTTTTAATTTAATTTCAGTTACAAATATGATGTCTATTGGTTTTGTATACATGATTCTAAGCATATAACATTAGTAAGCTTTAATTTCTTCTATTAAGTATAAGAATATTGTGAGATCAATATTAGAATGAATTGTTATATTGAAATGACCGTATTGTAGTTAAATCTCTTGTATGTTAATTATTCTTATAGTAATACTTTTACTTTAAAAAATTAAAACTATTGATAATTTTTAAATTTTGAACTTAAAGTAAGGTAATGTTTTAGAGTAATACATGTATTTATTAGAATACTTATCTGATTAAATTCAATTAGAAGGAGTTGTAAGAAAAAAATTTGCTTAAAATTTAAGGTAGGAGTAATTGTTGTTTTAAAAACAATGTGCAAGTACTTAAAACAACTATAGTAAAATTATTATTTTTATACATATTATTTCTACAGTTACATCAATGGCTTGTTTAAAGATTTGAGCTATCAGTCAACAAATATTTTCATTATATTTTGCTTACAACTGAGAAT